TGGCAATAGAGATGGTGATTCACCTGAGGGCCAGTAATCTGCCCTCTGCCTCGGAACCAGCCTCCATCCCCGTATGCTGACCCATCTCTTCTACTAACGTAAGTGTTAAACCTAAACTTTATTTTTCCTAAACTAACCTTTATTTCTCCTAACTTAACCTTTATTTTTCCTAACCTAACCTCTTATATATTAATTGTGTGTGCATACCATCATGAAGTTAAGATAATATTTTTACTACAACATAGTTTTGTGTCGTCAAAAAGTGGAGTTTGGGGGTCGGGCCAGTCTCTATTGGAATTAATCCCATATGTTCTGTTGTTCACTTTACGCAGTTTTCACTTTCCGCGGTACCCTGTGGGTTCAATTGACCGCATAAATCCAGGTACTACTGTATTTAGAACAGCCAGAAGGTTATGTTAAAAGTAATATAGAGGGTGAACATTTTTTTGGTAAATTAAAGAAATCTTTATATGGTTTGAATTGTAAACAAGGTGAAGGTTATTATTATCTGGGTAGATGATATAATTATTGCAGCCAGTAATGGTGACATGCTTAGTGATGTAAAACTTTCCCTGTGTAATAAATTCAAAATGAATGATTTAGGAAAATTGTCTTGGTTCTTAGGTATGGAATTCAAATTTGAAGATAAATCAAACTAAATATTTAGAGAAAATACTTAATAGATTTAAAATGTCTGACTGCAACCCTAAGTCAATACCATGTGATTTAAGTAAGTAAAATCATTAGTAGTGACTCTGAAGGACTATATGATGCTAGATTGTACAGAAAAATTGTCGGCATTTTGATCTATGTAATGACTGGTACAAGACCGGATCTATCTTATGTTGTTTCAAAATTGTCGCAGCATATGGCAAAGCCTACAAAAGCACTTTTTGAATTAGCTAAACATGTTTTGAAATATGTTAAAGGTACAATTCATTATAAACTTAAAGCTCAGGAAATCAAACAGTCCATTAAAATTGATTGGTTACTGTGATTCAGATTGGGGTGCATCGAAAGACAGGCGTAGTATTACAGGTTACAGTTACAGTGAGTTCTGCTATAACGCATGTTTTGACAACGCGAATTGGCTCTAACGCGATTTATGAATAGAGGAACGATATTTGTATAACGCGAACGCTTGTTTGCTGTCACGCGATTTTTGCTTACTATTTCTCCAATTTTGTGATATTAACTGAGAATATGGTAAAGAAGAATATCTCCAAGAAGTGTTCTGGTGATCGCATTCCCAGTGATGATCGTAAAAGAAAGGCTATAACCCTTGAAGAGAAGCTCGATGTTATCTACCTCAAAATCACCCTTTTCCCCCATCAAGTTATATTCATATTTTTTCAAGGTAAAGTTTTACATTTACTGTATGATTTCATTATTAGATATGAATGTAACATTTTTTTAGACTGTGCTATCCTTTGTGTTCGGCTAACTACTAAATTTTTTTCGATTTCGAGTAGTAATCTGCACCTAACGCTATTTTCTCCATAAGCCCTGTTATTTCTATTACGCGAATTTCTATAACACGATGTTTTACAAGAACACAACTATCGCGTTATAGCAGAGCTGACTGTATCAATTAAATGAAGATGGTCCATTGATTTCTTGGAAATCTAAGAAACAGAATGTTGTAGCATTGTCCTCATGTGAAGCTGAATATATGGCTATTACTTACTATAATACCTGTAATAATAATAATAATTAACTGTTTATTGCAAAAAGTTTAACAGCCAGAATGCTGAAATTATATATTAGACAAAATGACTTTTTACATACACAGACATGGGGTTGGGTGGGTCATTTAACAAAAGTCATTATATACTAAAAGGAGGAACATTTATTCAAATGCAACTTATTATATGCAAACAATTGTCTCTGTCTTAT